AGAAATTACATAAAAAATAATAACTTTTAAATAATTGATTTGATATTAATATTAATATATTATTTTTTCAAATTTTTATGATATTTTCTAATTTATATTTTATTCAAAAATAAAATCATTATTGCTTTCTTAAAAACACATAAAATCGTATTATAACATCGACAGAGACAAATAATGAAATAGAACATTAAAATCGAGATGTGTCTTGCTGCATTGCGCGAGTACTCTTATAGTCTTTATAAAATGTTATATTATTAAACCAAAAATAAATTATTTCATTATTAAACTTAAATTAAATTATAATAAAAATAAATTAAATAAATTTACATTAAAAGTGAAAACTTTTAGATAGTTGATTTGATACTAACATTGATATATTTTTTAAATTTTTTTATGATATCTTAAAATTTATAGTTTATTTAAAAATTAAATCATTATTGCTTTCTTAAAAACACATATAATCATATTATAATATCGACAAAAACAAAGAATAAAATAAAACATTAAAATCGAAATGTATCTCGCTGCATTGCGCAAGTACCTTTCTAGTTAACTATAAATACTTTACTTTATTAAAAAAAAACCCAGATACCAAAACCCCTATAGCCATCCGTCCCTACGTGCATTTATAAACAAAATTCCCATAAAATATAAGAACAAGATAAATTTTCAAAATTCATCAACTATATGTTATCACATTTTATCTGGATAAATAAATAAATAAACAAATTGAAAGTCGGTGTCAGGAAAAAAAAAATGGACATCAACATCGATGCTTGAATATTAAACCCGGGGTAGAAGAATAAAAATATGTTAGAATAAATGTGTAGTTTGATTGGTTTGAATTTGGGTTTCAACGGTCAAAGACGTCTAACGGTCTAAATTAAAATCCAAGAAGAAATAAAAATACCCTTGTGGACACAAAAGTCTAAATGTCGGGACTCCGAACTAATTATAAAGCAGGTGGTCGTGTTGAAATTTGTCGGTTGAAATTTGTCGGCTTGAATAGCAGATTGAATATTCAGGATAATAAAAAATATATATATTGAATAACAAAATTAAATTTATAAAACACTAAAACTGTTTACGTTTTTTAAGATATGATTTTATATAAGCAAATAAGTTTACGTCCCACTCATCAACAGAGACGGGATGGATCAGAAGATCCCCGAAAGAATGATTCGTAACAGCGACAATAAATTGATGAAATCAAGACACATGAAATCGTTTGGTATCTATTTATACCACCAAAACCATCAATGGCTACACAAAAACAAGCTTATGGATAAAAATGAAGTATGTGTTGTGATGGTGCCTTTTATAGCACAAGGCCACCTCAACCAGCTCCTCCACCTCTCCCGACTTATCTCCGCCTACGATCTCCCCGTCCATTTCGTCTGCGCCACCACCTACAGCCGTCAGGCCAAGCTTCGCATCCATGGTTGGGACCCTCTTTCCGACTCCAACATCCACTTCCACGAGTTCCTCGTACCCTCCTTCCCTAACCCTCCACCCAACCCCAACGCCGCCATACGCTTCCCGGCCCACCTTATGCCGTCGTTCAAAGCGGTGATGCACCTCCGTGACCCTTTCGCTAAACTGTTATCCGATCTCTCGATCACCACTAAACGAATTGTTATCATTCATGACTACTTGATGAGTTCCGTCGTTCAAGACTTTGTCACCGTCCCTACCGCCGAGGTTTACATGTTCCAAAGCTGTTCTGCTTTCTGTGCCTTTTGGTATCATTGGGAGGTGACACAAACCCTAAGTTTGGATGCTGAAACTGAATCTATCTGGAAGAAGGTCCCATCGTTGGAAGGATGTTTCACCGATGAATTCTTAGAGTTGATGGATTCTGAAGACTCGTCGTTCAAGAAGATCAGCTCCGGTACCCTTTACGACACCAGTAAAGTGTTAGAAGAAAAGTTTCTGGAATTACTTAAAATCGAAGAGATCTCCGGTACGTCGAAGAATTGGGCCATCGGTCCGTTTAATCCGGTGGGGTTCACTGAACGGAAAGATTCCGGTACTGAATCCAACAGGTTACTGATCAATTGGCTCGATAAACAAAAGGCGAACTCGGTCATTTATGTTTCATTTGGGACCACGGTTTCGTTCACCGACGAAGAAGCCAAAGAAATCGCTATTGGATTGGAAGAAAGCGGCCAAAAGTTCATATGGGTGGTGAGGGATGCCGATAAAGGCAACATCTTTGCCGGAGAAGATCGGAGAATCGAGCTGCCGGAAGGGTATGAAGAGAGGATAGAACGGCGGGGGGTGGGGGTGGTGGTGAGAGGTTGGGCACCGCAGATTGAGATACTGGGGCATCCATCGACGGGTGGGTTTATGAGTCATTGCGGTTGGAATTCGTCGATGGAAGCTATATCGATGGGGATTCCGATAGCTGCATGGCCGATGCATGCAGACCAACCGAGGAATGCAACGCTGATCACGGAGTTGCTTGGAACGGGGATATATGCAAGGGAATGGGCACGTAGAGATGAGAAGGTGGCGGCGTCGATGGTGGCGGAAGCGGTTCGACGGTTGATGGTGTCGGAGGAAGGGTGTGGCATAAGAAAGAAGGCGGCGGAACTTGGTGGTGTTGTACGGCGATCGGTGGAAGATGGTGGCGTTATGCGTAAGGAATTGGATGCTTTCGTTGCTGAAATCACCAGACCATAAGATATATGTAGTCCAATAATTTAAAACCATTGATGAAGTCGTATGCTTACAACTGTAACTTTAAATTCTTAATATTGTAATTTTTTATTACGATCTAATGAACTACTTTTATTATTTCATAAAATGAAAAGGTTATAAAATTGGGCAAATTGCATTAAAAAGTAATGTACTTTCATCTGATTCCTATTTTGGGTAACATACTTTTAAAACCTTTATTTTGGTACCTCAATTGTAAAATATCAATCTTTTAAGTACCTGGTCAACCTGATGACTTACAAATGTTGACTAGGATCAGGTTTTTATTGATGTGGCATTGTTTATTTATTTTATCAATGCCAACTAAGAAAAAAAATCCATGTCATTTTTAATTTTTTTAGATTCTGTGTTTTTTTCAATAAAGGAAAATTCCACATCATTTTTTTTTAATTTGTATTTTTTTTCAATTAAAAAATTCATGTCATTCTTTTAATTTTATTATTTTGTGAAATACGTAATTTTCAATTAAGAAAAATTACATCTTTAGGCCTATTATTTGTTTAAATTTTAATTAACTAAAMAAGACCAAATAATAAAAACATTTATAATAATGGCTAAACATCTGATAAGTTAATTAACAAAAATATTCCAGATGGTTAAATATTTTACAAAAATGATGTATCAAAAGGGAAATAACATAACATCGCTATCAATTATAAACCAAAATGTTCCTATGCTTCATTAATGCTCAACCAATATTACACCCGACTCCACTTAGTCCTTTTAGACGCAGTTTCTTCCCCTTCTTTTGCTTCAACTTCAAATAAGAAAAAAATCACGTTAATTACCTAACGACTTTTGAATAACAAATCCAAAAAATTTAATAAAAAAACATATAGAATCACAATGTTTACTTACCACAATCGGTGGAACTGGACCAACCATTTCCCTTTGAAGTCCTGCCGCTTGAACCTCTCCTTGAACTGCCTCTTGAACCGCTACTTGAACCACTGCCTCTAGGCCTACCAACCGGATAATGTTAGTAAATGACTTAAGATATTGTTGGACTGTTGTTTACTGATAATGATACACCAGTACTGTATTTTGGTCAACTTTCATTTTGTATCCTAGGAGACGATATTCATTATGTGTATGATGAGATTCGAGCACATGTTAACCTTAAATGCAGCTTTTACGCATGTTCATATCACCCAAGATCGTAATAGTCTCTAGTAAAATGTGGGCATTTTGATATCACTTATATTATGACACATACATTCAAAATCTTATCTGTTTGRAAAAAGTGGAAAATCCTCTAGCTAAAAGTTAATCCATTTTGGGGYTGCTGCATTTTGGACAACAATTTGATTTAAAAAGAAACAACACAAAACCACCTAAAAGTCCAAGAACATGAAACATAAGAAGGGTGGTCCTATCGTGCAAAGTTTTCAAGTAGGAATAGATTGAACAGTACGAAGGGTGTGGTATCCCAATAGCCTCCAGAACCTATTGCATTCCATCCATAAACATACAAAACAAGTCCTCCAGTGATTTTTATGCATGGATCTTTTGTCTATGGGTCTCACATTATTGCAAATCTATGACACTTTCAACAACCCAATATCAGAAACTTCATCATAAAATATGTATTCCTTTCATTACGAAATACTGTTAGGGGTCCTTATTTCAGCTTGAGCTGGTGTTGATTGTGGAGAAGTTGCAAGAATTACGCTCCATCAGGATCCAGAATTTAACAAAGCAAGGTTTGTATTAGAAAGACTGTCAGCTAAATAAAAATGCACATCTGAATCACTGAATGTCATTTATGTAGGTGGTTATCATGTTAAGGGTTGTTTACTATACACTTACTCGGGTAAGCGCTTACCAAGTCACATTACCTCATCGAATGAATATGGTAAGGACTAAGAATCTTACCTGGTAAGAGCGAGACAAGGACCATGAGTCTTACCCGGTATGTGAGGGTGATCGACTCTTACCACGGTAAGCGCTTACCGGGTGAATTGTTGCATACAATGTCGTTTTGATGGACTAAAATCTTACCCGGTAAGTAATTAATAGTGTTAAACTTTACCGGTAAGCACTTACCCGGTAAGTGTTTGGTAAACGGCCCCTTATTCGATAGTGATGCTTTCAGATAACTAATACATTATTAACATAAACTGACATATAAAATTATGGCATCTGTATTTAGAAGCAGTGATTATATCAAGTCTAATGGCATCATTCTTGCCAAATGGTAAAATTCACCACATTTGCATATGGCATCTGTATTTASAARCAGTTGCAAATAGGTTGCCATTTGAATCTGTTATATCACATTTCCATATGGCATCTAAAGTGGAATGTCATTTGTCATGTGATTGCAAACCACTAGTTAGGTAAACATTAAATTCATTGCATCAATAACTAAGAAAACCCATGAAACAAACCTCCACCTTGTGCCTGCACTAGAATTATCATCGTGCATAACACCACCACCATTGACTTATTTGGAGTTATGGATTGCGATGGATGCCAGATAGCTATTCCAACTACTTCGTAATTATAAGCTTACATTTATGGCCATATAAGCCCTTATTAAAAGACATATTCTCACAATATAATAGGCAATATAAGGAGATTTTAGAACGTCATAGGAAAACTTCGTACTCTGAAGAAGATTGAACATACAAATTGATTTTAGAACTAACCTGATAGTCATTGCAATGTGATATAACAGATTCAATCCCTAAAAACACAAAAGGGGAAATTTTAGAAAAGTTCTAAAACCACAAAAAATCGAGTTGATGAAGAAGAAATACAACAATTTTACATACCTAAGACCAGATAACATCGATGTAGGAGATTGGTGACGACGAGTGAGGGAAGATTTGCAAGAAGAATTCGTCGATTGAGGAAGCCTATCGTTGAATCGAAGGAGTCGGTTGCTTAGGGCGTCGATTCGTCGATTGAGGAAGCCGATCGTTGAATCGAAGGAGTCGGTTGCTTATAAGGGCGTCGATTGAAATGCCTGGGGAAATTGAGTTTTAAAAGATAAGGGGTTTAATATTTTCCATGTAATTTGGTTACATGTCAATTTTTATTCCACATCATTTTTTTAAAATACATGTCATTTTTATTTTATCGGTTACCTGAAGTATAGGTAACTCAGGTACTTGAAAGTTTGAGATTTTATATCTTAGGTATCAAAATAAAGGTTTTAAAAGTATGTTACCCAAAATAAGAATAAAACTAAAGTACGTTACATTTTTATGCAATTTGCCCTTTTAATTTCTTATATTTTAAAAATCATTAATATTTTAATATAAAAGTAACATAAAAAACAAACATTTCATTCTCTTCAATATAACATTTATCTTATTATAGTTTTTTTTTCCCCATTTTAACTGGTTTTACGTTAATCAATATATATATATATATATATATATATATATATACATGTATGTATGTATAACATTATGAATATTTATATACTTTCACATCTATATAACAATTCGGCAACATAAGTGTGTAACTCGACATCACTTTCTTTAACGTTGTAAGTCGATAACTTAACATCACGTTCTTCATCACCATAACCCAACACCCATCACGGCCAATCGAGAATTCATACTTTGACTTGGGGCCTATTTACTTCTAAATACCTTTGAGTTAGATAAACAACAATTTTAGATCAATACTTATCTGATTCAGATCTCTTATCTCAATTAGACTTCTCTTACCTCAGTCAGCACGAGTAGGTTTGTGGCACTAAACACATATAAATCTCATACCAATTTATATACGTTCCGAAGTGAGTGTGCCATATATATCGATTTTGCAATTCATTTTTTTTTTGAAAATAAAATATGTTAAAAAAACAGATATAAATTAAAGAAAAGAATCTGTAAAATACAGATCGCCAACCAACCATAACTGTATACATTCCTATTTATATACTATACTTGAAAACACATAAAGATAACATATAATTTTATGTGCTTATTCAATGAATGATGTATAGTGAATAATTAAAAACAATCATTCTCAAATCTTAGGGCGTATTTGAAATTGTTTATAAAAACAACTTATTGAGTTATTTTGGTGTGTCGTTGGTAATAAACACTTTTGAGTGTTTGGATAAACAATTTATACCGGTGTCAAAACGGTAATAAGAAATTTTTGAAAAAGTTAAATCATTTAACTTATAAGAAGTTGATATACACTTTTATAGAAAAACATAAGTTGTTTCAAATAAGCAATCTCAAACACTCCTAGAAACAATAATTTCAAAACCTTCCACATTTTATCTAGATAAATAAATAAACAAATTGAAAGTCGGTGTCACGAAAAAAAAAATGGACAACATCGATGCTTGAATATTAAACCCGGGGTAGAAGAATAAAAATATGTTAGAATAAATGTGTTGTTTGATTGGTTTGAATTTGGGTTTCAACGGTCAAAGACGTCTAACAGTCTAAATTAAAATCCAAGAAGAAATAAAAATACCCTTGTGGACACAAAAGTCTAAATGCCGTGACTCCGAACTACTTATAAAGCAGGTGGTCGTCTTGAAATTTGTCGGCTTGAATAGCAGATTGAATATTGAGGATAATATAAAATATATATATTAAATAACAAAATTAAATTTATAAAACACTAAAACTGTTTACGTTTTTTAAGATATGATTTTATATAAGCAAATAAGTTTACGTCCCACTCATCAAGAGAGAAGGGATGGATCAGAAGATCCCCGAAAGAATGATTCGTAACAACGACAATAAATTGATGAAATCAAGACACATGAAATCGTTTGGTATCTATTTATGGCACAGGCTAATGGCACCTCATCTTATACCAATGACACCCCTATACTTAGGTTATCATTTCATTTTTTATTATTTGATTATTTTTTCTGTCTTTTTGTTGTTTTTTTCTTTTATATTAATTTTTTAATTATTTTATAATAAATAGATACTATTACAAATATTATTTTTATTCTATAAAAATATTAATATTAAAAAATATTGATTTTTATCATAAATTTTATAAAAAATATTGTACATTTTCTTT